AACCCATTAGAATGCCCACACGTTCGAGTTCACGTTAATCCGGAGATACATTGAGAAAGAACCGAGGTGTTCTTAGAATTTAAGAGCTCAAGACGGTGTTAGAGGAGTTCAAGATTTTCGTCCTAATCGAACGACGGTCAAATCCTCATTCCTTTCTTTAATGTCTTTGTAATTAAATTAACATGAAATAATGATCGCATTAAATTTTAATTTATGTGATTCGATCCATACCACGCTTCCGCACAATTTTTTTTTTGAAAATCCGGTTTGAGAAACCAACATAATTTTGGTGTGTTTTAGAGGAATCTCTGGAGACGAGTGTGGTGGCGGGTGCGGTGCAGTGGGGGGGCTGTCGGAGACGAGTTAGAGGAAGTTACATCTTTCCAATGGCTTTGGACTGGTTGTTAGAGGAAGTTACATCCCGGGAGTTCTTAGATTTCTTGTTGGGAGGCTCACTTTCGAGCTAGATTAGGACTGTCTTTGGTCAAAATTTGAGTTGGAAAATTTCTCACCAGATAACTCACTGTTGTTCCAAGCTCTGTAGTCATCTTCAATAGCCCAAACCGCTTGGTCACTTGACCAATTCTCACTGCCACTATCGGTAATCACCTAAACCACGTTTTCACGCCCATAATCCATTGAACAAAGGAGAAATCAAGAAAACCAAAACCCTAAGCTCTTCAATGGCAAATATAAAAAAAAAATACCCAAATGGAGAAATCTCCAAATCCTCACAAGAACCGATCAAAATCTTGGTTTTCTTTCCCTTTTTTTGGCCGAAGATCTGGTGAAGATCAAGAAAATAGAGAGATTGTCATGAGCAAGATACTTGATCTGTTCTTGCTTTTGAATTTATGAACTTCATTTTACGATTGTTTTTCCCCTTTGAAAACCTCTGATTTAGGACACAACAGGGACAGTGGGTAGTTGAGGCTAGTCAGGCATGGTAGAAACTGGCGTGAGTGATGGGAAAAAATGAAATGGAAAATGAAAAATGGATTTAATCCGTTTTCAGATTTTTAGAAAACGACAAAAACGTTTTTGTTTTGTAAAATTTTTTACACCAAATACATTTCTGATAGGCGTTTTCATTTTTTAATCTCGAAAAACGTGAAAAATGAAAATGAAAATAAAAACAAACAGGCAAAATAATTTTACTATAATATTTTCCTCTCATAAAAAAATTAAATTTTAAACTTTAAAATCAAGAATCATAATTTGTATATACCTTCCAAACATGCCCTTAATGTTTTAAAATATTTTAGATTTTTAAAAAAATATTGATTTCTATTTAATTAATAAAAATGGTAGTTTGGACATTACACGTCCTAAAAATTAGTTTTAAGGTACAAAAAATATGTTTTTAAAAATGTTTAAGTGTCGTTTTAATATTATCAAAAACATGGAGTATCAAGAGCATGTTTCACAATAATACAGGGTACCAAAATGATTTTATCTCTTTTTTTCAAAAAAAAAAAAAAGATCACTAGGAGTTTACTTTTAAATCATAAATGACAAGAGAACTATTGAAAATGAATTTTAAAAGCAAAATCAACCTTAGAACTGTTGGGAATGGTGTCCTAAAAGCATGAGATGTAATAAGATATTTATTATTTATTTAATAAAAGAGTTTATTCATTATTTTATGTGCATATATTATTGAATATTTTATGAATATCATTGAAAATTTCATGATTATTTATGTGACCTTAAATATTGTATATAAGCGTTATATACGAGATGATAATATTTAAAGATAATAATCAAAACGATGTTCGTAATGAATTTAATTAAAGTTCAGAATATTTAATTAAAACATTACTAATTCATGTCATTCTCATTTAGAATGGAACGGTGTTATCTGCACTGTTAATATAGCGAGATATTGAATGAGCGTATTACGCATAATGAGATTATGTGGAACTGAGATACATACACAATATGAATTTCTGATAATTTTCATTAAGTATAGAAATTCTAATTGAGTTTATCGATGATCATATATAGAACGATTTTAATCATGAGTTATTAACATACTCTTATTTATGGATTTGTGTCATTTGATTTACTCGGTACGGATTTTGAGATGTTGAGTCCTATTCCTTATATTTTGGAGACATGATGAAGTAGGTAGCCGAGAATGTCAATATACTTCTATTCCTTTTTGAGAAAGAAGTAGATAATAATTTTCTTGAGCATTGATTTGGTACTTGGACTAGTAGGAGTTCCGATTCATGAATTTGTTTTATAAATCATTGTCCATTAGAAATCAACAATACTTAAGGATAAAGATGTAATTAGAGAGGTTAACGGATTTCACCTAACTATAATTGTAAATTATTTATGGAGGATTAATCTATATGTAATGGCTATATTAAATGGACACTTCACAGTTTAGAAGTAAATTATATATATAATTACGAGAGTGTAATTCTAAGTTTATAGTAGAGTAACTTTTAAAATTAATAAAATGAATGAATTAATTAAAGAGTTATAATTAATTATTAATTTTATTGGAGCTCAAAATTATAGGTCCATGAGTCCCCGCGTCGTCATTTTAATACTACAAGACACTAAGAGTAAAATGAAAATTTTAAAATTATGAAATTCTAAATAGAACGCTCAAGAATAATTAATTATAAATTAATTATAAATTAAATAATGTGATTATTTAAATTTAAATTTTGGAACATACATGTGGAAGAGTTCACATGGTATACATGCCCAACACTGTGAAAATCCATATAGGATTCAGTTGCTTGCTCTTTAAGTTATCCAATTGACTTATTTGATAAGTTGTCTAATTGAAATTCAAATTAAATTAAGTTTGACTTAAATTGGAATTTGAATTTGAGTTAAAATTGGACTGCAGTATAAAGGAGAATATTTTCTCGTTCTCTATCTTTAATTTGCGCCAACCACAAGGGAGAATATCCCTATGGTGGCCGGCCCAATAGAAGAAGAGAGTGAGGAGATTTTGTTTCTAAAATCTATTAGAAGTGGGAGATAATTATCAAGCTTTATCTTGGAGATAAAGTTTAGATTTCTTCTGAGAGTCTGTCTATTACTCTATAAATAGGAGATTGCAGAAAATTGAAGAACACAATTTTTGCTCTCCCTATCATATAGTGGCCAGTTTTATGGAGTAAGGCAAAGGAAAAATTTTCTCTCAAAATTTCACATCATGCATGTGTTGGTGTTCGTGAAAAACTTTAGTGTTTGAGTGCTAATCCCGTTTTATTTCAGGTGTGCCCACGCACATCATTGTAGATTCAAGGAATTGACAAGGAAAATTCGAGTATTCTAAACAAGCTTGGAGCAAGGAACGTTCGTGGTCAAAGAACTCAAGTTATCAACCTAATTGTTCGATAGGTAAATTTATTCATAAATTAATTTAATTAATTCAATCATACATAAATTAATGTATTATATAGAGTATCTCAAAGGTCTATTAAAATTTTTATTATACACTATCTGCTAAATACACGCTTCCGCATAGGAAATCATTTTCAAAGCAAACAAGAGCTGCAAGTACGAATTGGGCTAAATAGGCTAGCCTGAGGCCCGACTGAGGTTTTCAAGCCAGTAAGATTATTCGGGTTGGCTAGATCGGTCCAAAAGACCTCTTTTTTATTTTTTATTTTCTAAAAATACCTTATAAAACTCCGAATCGGACTAGGCCTGTCAGGATTTAAGGCTAGTCTGGGTTGACTCTCTATCCTTTAGAGTTGACTGGGGTCGGGTCAGGAAAGACGACCCAAACTTTTACCTCTAATCAACTTTAAACTCACAGGTGAACACCATTCCCACCATAATTTCTTGCCTTTCCAGTATTGTCGCAAGTACTTTTTTTTAAGGTATTGTCAAAAAGACATGGATTTTTTTTGCTAAGGAAAAAAGACACAGACTTTATTATTTAATATAAGGGGGACTATTGTGTCATCGCATCCCATCCCTCTTGTCATTTTAGAAATTCTGTAGCCCACCAATAAAACGGAAAGGCCTGACTCAAATTTTTTTGAAAGATGGGTCCAGAATTCACTCATATCACCGCACACTCAACACTGTACAACACATTAATTAGGCATAGGTCTTGAAGTGGGGGATGTGGAGTCTTGATCGAACTTTGGGCACACCCTGTAAGAAAAAAAAAGAAAGACATTTTTACCGCTACACCAATCCATTAGTGGTAAAAAGAAGGGAAATAGTAGAAAATATGTCAATATGAAAAGCTTAAGAAAGTATATAGGCCAATTTTTAGTTATAGAAATTAATAAGCCATAACTTGTCAAGTTATGGTTCATAACTAGATAAGTTATGGATAAACTTGTCAAGTTATGGTTTATAGCCAGACAAGTTATGGACAATTATGGACAATAAATTGTCAAGTTATGGTTCATAACCAGACTAGTTATAGACGAAATAGTAATTTGGCCTATTTATTAACTTATGTAAACTATTGGCCTATTAATTTTAATTCATCTGAAGTCTTGGCCTATTTCTCTCTTTATCCCTAAAAGAAAGAGCCTTACTTTCACATGTTGAAGTGATGCACTGTTTAAATTAAAAGCTTATGTCCCGTTTAGAAGGTATACTCAAACTATGATTCTTAATTCTGACATTTAAAATTTAAATTGTTTTATAAGAAGAAAACAATGTAACAAAATTAATAATTTAAGTTTTGAGTATATGAAACAAACAAGACTTTAATGTTGTCATTCGAACAAACACTATACAAATCAAGTTTTGAACTTGAAATAAATGTCACTCACACTATAAAAGAAAGGAAAAAAATTTACGGAATCTGACTAACGGGCAGGAGAACAGGAAAGAAAACTAACGGGGAGTAACGAAATGATGCGATGGGTTAAATCATTAAGTGGAAGTGGGCCCACATTATCTTAAGCGGGCTAGCTTTAGCGTTCAAAATGGGTTGCCCAAAAGGAAGAGGCCCACAGTTAGAGACAGCCGACACATTCGTTACAGAACCCAACCCAAAATTAGTCCACCAACCGCAATCATTAGTCAGATTCCGGTGTCACTGCTTTATCGGAAAGGGGCAATTTGTCAATTCGTATACCTCCCCAGTCCCCACTTTGCCCCCCTCCGTTACCGGGAAACGTTTAAACGTCGCCGTCAAACTCCCTGCTCCATCAGCTCAGACTATAGAGAGAGAAAGGAAGCAAAACTGCGACAGGGGAGAGAGAGAGAGAGAGAGAGAGAGTTTTGTTGAGTTACTCTCCCTGTCGGAGAGAAATCTTCTTCCACATGAAGGGGAATCGTACGGAGAATTAGGGTTTGCGTTTGGGAAATCTAGAGAGAGAGAGAGAGAATGGTAGGTGCAACGCTTGCGGGACTCCAAGACCACCTGAAGCTGGCGAGGGAGTACGCTCTTGAAGGACTCTACGACACCTCCATTATATTTTTCGACGGTGCTATTGCTCAGATCAACAAGTACTTCTTCTTCTCTCTCTCTCTTGAGCACTCTTCAGATGTTCTAGATTTTGATCATTTTATCTCTCGGAATTTGAGGTCCATAGCATGATTAGCGTGGGAAATGTGAGTGTTCTTGGTTTTGGATTGTTAGTTTCTTTTCTTTGATTGATTGTTGGCAATCTGCGATACAGTTTGTTCCTACGTTGATCTAATTTGTTTGAAATCAAATATACCGAGGCTTATTACATTAATTGAAAAGCAAATGAAGAATTTGATGTCTGATATGCCAAAAAGTGCATAAAAAAAGTTTATATATATATATATATATGTATACACTGATAGTATTTGCTTATTTAGCCTTTCAAACTACAAATCTAGCGAAACAGTCGTGGTTTTCTTAATTTTAGGAAGGGAAAATGTGGGCTTAGCTGTAAGCTTTATTTTAGTTCTTCCATGAAAATAATTTATTGGCACTTTCTCTTACCAGAGCAGGTAAAGTTAAGTGGATCTTTTTCCGTTTCTTTTGTCAGTTGAATATCAAATAAAAATAGTGGATTCTTATGTTACTTTGGTGATGGATTGGTTCATATGTTCACTTTATAAGGATTTTATTGTCTTCCTCGGTTTTAGGCACCTAAACACAATTGACGACCCTTTGATTCGCACAAAATGGATGAATGTGAAGAAAGCTCTTTCCGAGGAAACGGAGGTTATGAAGCAATTAGATTCAGAGAGAAGGGCATTAAAGGAAATTCCGATGGGACGACTGCCTGCTTCCCCTCCAATAAATACGAAATCTTCATTTGTTTTTCAACCATTAGATGAGTATCCAACTTCTTCAGGTGCTCCGATGGATGATCCTGATGTTTGGAGGCCACCAAGCCGGGACTCCAGCAGGAGGCCTGCAAGATCTGGTCAAGTCGGTATGAGGAAGTCACCACAAGAAGGTCCTTGGGGTCGTGGTAGTACTACAAGAACAGGCACAACTGCCCGTGGTGGTGCAAAATCTGGGGCATCGAGCAGGGTTAACTCAGGAGTGAGAGCATCAACTGCTGGAAAGAAAGGTGCTGGCTCAGGAAAATCTAGCAAAGCGGATTCAGCAGTAAGTTTCATCATTTTGATTACTGAGGCTTCTTGTTATTATATTAAATTTGATGTTCTTATAGAGTTCATGGTGTTTTCTTAATTAATTTTCTTTACGGATCTGTGAAAATTTCACATTTGTCTGCAATCTGCTTATTGTTTTGTTGTTGGAATTTGTCAGAATGGTGATGCTGAAGATGGAAAGTTAAAGAAAAGAGAGTATGAGGGTCCTGATCCTGATTTGGCTGCAATGCTTGAAAGGGATGTGTTAGAAACCAGTCCAGGAGTGACATGGGATGATGTTGCAGGCCTGACTGAAGCGAAAAGACTTCTAGAGGAAGCTGTTGTCCTTCCTCTGTGGATGCCAGAATATTTCCAGGTAATCTTGAATGATTTAAAAAATCATATTTCTATCTTAAAATTCAGTTGGGAGTTCATTTACTACTCATGACGTCAGTTACAATTTAAGTTTGTCTTTTAATGATGGGCATCGTCATTGGCATGTAACTTCTTCCTATCACTTAGCCTTAGCTGCTGGAGCCAAAGGCTGTTTTCTTGAGCTCTTGCACTTTTGACTAATCTTTATTAAGATTTGTTTTCAAAGGCAAAATAACATTGGTTGGTTCACTGCAGCTTGATCACAAAGGAGGTAAAAACTATATTCACTGCAATGCCAAATTCACACCCTTGATTTGAATCCAAGGTTTCTATTGAGATCCGCTTCCACATACCTTCATTTCAGTGAATTAGTATATTCTTTCACATGCATTTTGAAAATGTCTTTGCTTTCATAAGCCAGTTCAGAGTAAGTTTGCTGTTTCTTGGCTCCAGGGAATTAGGAGACCGTGGAAAGGTGTTCTTATGTTTGGTCCTCCTGGAACTGGAAAGACATTATTAGCTAAAGCTGTTGCTACGGAGTGTGGCACAACATTTTTCAACGTTTCCTCTGCTACTTTAGCTTCAAAATGGCGTGGAGAGAGTGAGCGCATGGTTCGGTGCTTATTTGATCTTGCACGAGCTTATGCTCCAAGTACAATCTTCATTGATGAGATTGATTCTCTCTGCAACGCCCGAGGGTAAGGACTAAGATACATTCTAACATCTGGTTAATAGTTTTATGGGCCCGTTTGTGAGGTGTATTTGAATCATGATTTGGGTTTTGATTCAAATTCTTTGTGAGAGAACTATTGGCGGGAATTTTTATTTTTATTTTTTTATTCAAATTCTTTTTGAGAGTAAAACACTAGCATAATGATGGTTTGAGTTTTGAGTATATGTACCAAACAACCCCTATATGATTCTAATCTTATGTATTCTAAGGAGTGTTCTACATGTAATAGATTTTATGCATATCTTTCTGGTGTACTTGTGTGCCCGATTGCATGGGAATTTTGATTATACCTCAAGTGTTTTTGCTTGTGTTGAAACCTAATGAAGTAAATTATTTTCTTCAGAGCATCAGGGGAACATGAGTCATCTAGAAGGGTGAAATCTGAGCTTCTAGTTCAGGTAGATGGTGTAAACAATACTTCGACGAATGAAGATGGTAGCCGTAAAATTGTGATGGTTTTGGCAGCTACTAACTTTCCTTGGGATATAGACGAGGCATTAAGGTAGTTTTGGTTTTTCTATTTGGAGTTGAGGCATCATCACTGATGTTGCATTAGATTGGATACTGAACTAGATCTCATTTCCACTTTTCTCTGATTGGTGGCAATCCAATTTCAGGAGGAGGCTTGAAAAGAGAATTTATATTCCTCTTCCAAATTTTGAGAGCCGAAAAGAGCTTATTCGGATCAACTTGAAAACTGTTGAGGTAAATAGAGAACATATAAGAGAGTGCGTGTGTGTGTACAAGAAATTTAAATGGTTGTTTTCCTTCATAGAGAACATTTAGGATGTCATCATTTTATATATAATTTTTCTTTCTAGATATGACCAACCCAGTCTCCATGTGTAGTGATCCTTGAAAATGATTGTATACATCTGTTTCAGGTGGCCCCTGATGTAAATATTGATGAAGTGGCTCGTCGAACTGGGGGATACAGTGGTGATGATCTCACAAATGTTTGTCGAGATGCTTCCTTGAATGGAATGAGGCGTAAAATAGCCGGAAAGACGCGTGATGAGATTAAGAACATGTCGAAGGATGAGATTTCAAAGGACCCTGTTGCCATGTGCGACTTTGAAGAAGCATTGACAAAGGTCCAAAGAAGTGTTTCTCAAGCTGACATTGAGCGGCATGAGAAATGGTTCTCAGAATTTGGATCAGCATAGAGATGGAGATCAAGCCATAATCGAAATGAGTTTACTTTCCGACCGGTCTGGCTTGTTGAATGAGAGTGATCATGTCTACTAATTGTTTCTTGATACTTCAGTTATTGTTTCCTGGCGGAATTGAGTTGTGTAGTTGAAAATTGTTGGAAAGCTGTATTGTTGTGCAATTTGTATCTTAACACGTCATGTAATGTAATCTAATTTTCCTTGCTTGCAAAACTATTATGTTTTCATTTACCATGTTAAAATCGCAAGAAATTAATCTGCAACAAGTTTCAGACTCATTTCAAATGAAGATTCACGCAATACCCTTGTGATTGAATGTTTCCATTACTGACCTTTTCGAAATCTTGAACAAATGTTTATAAACCATTCTATATGTGACGATCCTCCTATGAGGCCGTCACTGTAACTTAAACTTTAACTTGTACTTACTGGGGTTTCTTAAAATTTGCGGAACATTTTTTTTTTTTAATATAAGAAGGAATACTTTCATAATTTGTAACAATAATTTCAAATAAGTGAATCACTAAATTTCTTAAAGCTTTTTTTAATTTCAGTTAAGATAAAACGTTCTAAAAATATCTTTCAAACAGAGCAGCATTTGAACTCTTATTTCAAATGCTCTTTAAAAGCCTTTCTAAAACTAACCAATTCAATCGGGCCATTTAATTTTGACTTTGAAACGGATTTCGTGAGAAATCTTAAATTCAAGTACATCTTAAAGCCTTTTTAAAATCAATCGTTTAAATCGTCATGTTTAAAATTTGTTTATTTGTTGCATGCTCTGTTGCAACGTTCTAAAACTTAAATACTCAAAACGAGGGTTGTTAGCTACAACCTCGGTTTCCTTAACATACATATGTACCTATACTTTTTAAACATACATGCTTGAAACCTTTAAATCATATATACATATACATGATTTTTCTTAAACTTACTGCGGAAGATAACTGCGTGAGCGGTATCCATTCCCATCTCCACCATT